ACCTCAGATGGGGTTATGAAAGTTGGTCAACTGAACAATCAATCATCTGGAAATGGGTCCTATACCATGTGAAAGTCTTCGATCTATGGTCAACACATTAGGCAATACTAACTGGGAAAAAAATTGAAAATTTGTCCGTACTATATTTTATCAAATATTTCGTTAGGTAAGTTTCTGTGTCGTTCAAATCTAAAAATGATGAGTAACATTTTTAGAAGAGCCACTATTTTGTAAAACGTGTTAAGGGATATAATTTTACATCGCTTAAATACAAAAGCAATTTTTCACAAGTTAATTTTTGATATGCGATATTAAATTATATTGGACAATAGTACAATAAATAAAATTTCAAATTCTCTTTCTTTTTTATAATATTGTCAACTCCTATCTAATCAATCTTACTAAATTTATTTTTATCTACTATTGTGTGTGCTATTAGAGCCAGACAAAACTCCCTAACCGAACCGACCGAACCCGAATCGAACCCGACGGTTCTTCTGAAATTAAATATCCGAACGGATATTTGAATCAAGAATCGACGGGTATGGTTCGATTCTCGATTCTAGGTCAAGACCCTAAAAATCGAATAAGAACCGAATTTCTGTAATTTTTTTATTAATTTATTTTAAATAAGTAAATTTATTTTATTTTTTCTAAATAAATTTATTAACTAGTTAATTTAGTTCAAACCACAAAATATGATTTTCCTATTTCTAATTTTCAGTTCAAAATCAACTTAATCAAATTGACCTCAATTTTTATCCAAATATGTTATTCTAATATAGTGTCGTTTCTACCGAAAAAAATCGAATTAAAACTCTACAATATTTCTCTTAATTATTTTGAGCTCGCTATCTTTCTCTTTCTTTTATTTTCATAATCAAATTTATGAAGAATTCAGCAAAGAGAGACATGAAACACATAAGATTGAATTACATTATTTTGTAAGAGCTAATATTGAACATATCATTAATTAAATTAATATAACTTTGTATATATTAAAAAATTTAATTTTAATACGG